TCCCCCCTCAGACCCCTGCCTGCCCCATCCTCAGACCCCTGCCTGTACAATCTTCAGACACCTGCTTGTACCATTATCAGACACCTGCCTGTACAATCTTCAGACACCTGCCTGTACCACCATCAGACCCCTGCCTGTCCCATCAGAAAACCCCTGCCTGTACCATCAGGAAACCCCTGCCTGTACCATCAGGAAACCCCTGCCTGTACCATCAGGAAACCCCTGCCTGTACCATCAGGAAACCCCTGCCTGTACCATCAGGAAACCCCTGCCTGTACCATCAGGAAACCCCTGCCTGTACCATCAGGAAACCCCTGCCTGTACCATCAGGAAACCCCTGCCTGTACCATCAGGAAACCCCTGCCTGTACCATCAGGAAACCCCTGCCTGTACCATCAGGAAACCCCTGCCTGTACCATCAGGAAACCCCTGCCTGTACCATCAGGAAACCCCTGCCTGTACCATCAGGAAACCCCTGCCTGTACCATCAGGAAACCCCTGCCTGTACCATCAGGAAACCCCTGCCTGTACCATCAGGAAACCCCTGCCTGTACCATCAGGAAACCCCTGCCTGTACCATCAGGAAACCCCTGCCTGTACCATCAGGAAACCCCTGCCTGTACCATCAGGAAACCCCTGCCTGTACCATCAGGAAACCCCTGCCTGTACCATCAGGAAACCCCTGCCTGTACCATCAGGAAACCCCTGCCTGTACCATCAGGAAACCCCTGCCTGTACCATCAGGAAACCCCTGCCTGTACCATCATCAGCCACCTGCCTGTACAATCTTCAGACACCTGCCTGTACCATCATCAGACACCTGCCTGTATAATCTTCAGACACCTGCCTGTACCATCATGAGACACCTGCCTGTACCATGTAGAAGCCAAAACAACCCCTCCACACCTACTGAGCAGTCAGTCCACCAACTACTTCTGCTGAGCATCACTGATGTCCATGCTCCTGATTTCAATAGCAATGGAAACAGAACCCACAAATAATACCACTAAGACTCCTTTGCTCCTCTGGGGAGTTCTCTCAACTGACAGCTCCACTGCAGAGTAGCTACTGCTCCCAGATCAGGGAGGTTCAGTGATTTGTCTAAGGTCAAACAGCAGCCAGCAGTGCCTGTGAGAGCTGCGGGATACAGGCCAGCAAAGGAAAGGACAGGGTGGCTCAAAGGGGACCTTCTGTCATCAGCAGACCTGAGCATGAATAATCTAACCATGGAGGCAGCCACAAAAATGGTGGGAAAGAGTGAGGCACATACAGATGTGTCAGGTACCCACAGCACCATGTGACCATCTTCAACTGAAGGCATCAGGCCAGACAATGAACTTCTAGCTACTCCTGGAAGACCTCCTTTAGGTCAAGATAGGACTAAGAAACTATTCTGTGGCTGAGCCAGTCTGGCCCAACCAAAACTAGAGGCCAATGATGTACATAGGCTTTAAATATAGACACTGCAGAGATGGACAGGGAGAGAAAGACTCAACTGCAAAGCCATCCATGATTGATTGGTGATGTCTGCTGGGCATAAGAGGCAGGAAACAGTATGTGTCCACCTCTTCTCCAGTTCATGGAGTATCTGCACCCATCAGTCCAAAGAGCTTGTGAAAGTGCACGTGCCTGGCCCCACCCTGGACTTGGGGTTTCTAAAACAAAGCACAAATTTCCAATCCAGGACCATCCCTGGAGAACTCTGAGGAAAGATCGAGAGAAGCCTATGACAGGGAGTCCCTAGAAGTCCCAGAGAGAGGGGTGAGGGTTGCAATATTAAAGGAAAAGCGAGTTCTAGTCCCATGCCCATCTCTGGGGACAGTTCTCAGACCTCAACAGGTAAACAGGGCTGCTGGCTAAGGCCTCTCTGTGATTGGTCAGGGGCAAATGGGAATCCCCTAAGACCTTCACCATCTCTTTGTGTCCACTTTAGTGTGAGGCCAGGAAAGTCCTGGAAGGGTAAAGGTTGTGCACAAACTCCTCAGGATTCACACTCAGTCCCCACCAGGTAATTGCCATCTGCTCAGAACCCAAATCTTTTCTTCTCACGACTTCCTCCACTCCAGAGTCATTGTGATTCTCATTAAATTTAGCTTGGATTCTGCAAACATCACTGGACCCTGGGACAGACATGTCACTGCAATTAAGATGCCAGGTAATACTGAGAGGTTGGTCCCGAGGACCGTCACTCACCGTGAATAGGTTAGACCTGCGCTTGGACTGCTTCCGGACAGGCGTTGGGGTGTTGGCAGTGGGAGGGACATCAATCCGAAGCTCCTTCTGGCTGGTGCTTGGGGTCGAGGGGACAGAGGAGGAGTAATCACTCAAACTCCCACCTCCGTTACTTGTCTGTAAAAATTAAACCAACAAACAAAAATATCAACGCTCTGTGAACTGAACAGCATAAAAACCAACCAAGCAGGGTCACAGCAAGAAAAAATAGCAAGTGTCAATGAAGAAGCATCTGGGAGACAAGGTGTCAACTCCCCATATCTGGCCAATTTTACTAGCACTGAGTGCTGCTGGAAAAAAAGTGCTGCTTTATCTGAGAAAAAGGACCTCAGAGGGATCCATAGTGGAGCTTGAAATTTTCTTTCTGCTTCTTGAGACAGAGTGTCTCATTCTGTAGCCTGGGATGACCTAAAGTTCATTATGTAGCCCATGCTGGACTTCAATTAAAGCAATCTTCCTGTCTCAGCTTCAAGACTACTGAGACTCTAGGTATGCGTTACCACATGCAGCAAACGTTGAAAAAAAATGGGGGAAAAAATAATTATTCTTCCTCTGAAAAACAAAACTGCAGTTAAAAATGGCCACTCAGAACACCAAGCAACCACTCTTAAATGGCATCTCACAAATCAGAGTACTATCCTAAAACATTTTTACACCATTCAAAACCTGAAGACACCAATCGTGAAGGTATCCAGGTGTATGGCTGGACCAGCAAGTCACCAGCTCCTTAGTGAGGTCCTGGGTGGATCCCTGTGATAAGTACCTTGCTTTCAAATTAATAATTTAGTAAAATGTTGTTAGGGAAGGCCTTCTACAGGGCCTAAAGGAGATGGTAGTTATAGCCAACTTCCAGATCTAAGCATAAGTGCACTCCTTAGCCAGTAAGACTTACTCACAACTGTTCACCCTACAAAGTGACCAAGAGCAAAGCCAGTGATTTCAATCCACAGCGAAGACGGCAGCATATACCTGTTGTGGGATATTTGTACACTGTGTGAAGATATCCTGCTGAGATTGGTTTAATAAAGAGCTGAATGTCCAATAGCTATGCATAAAGAGGTTAGGCAGGACTTTCGGGAAGAGAGGGCTCTAGGGAGAAGAAAGGGGAAGATGCCAGGAGACACGGTGAAGAAACGGGAGGTAAAAGATGGAAGAGAGGTAATGCCACGTGGTAAAATGTAGATTAATATAAATTGGCTAATTTAAGTTGTGTTAGTTAGGAACAAACCTAAGCCACAGGCCGAGCTGTCATAATTAGTAAGAGGTCTCTGTGTCATTATTTGGGAGCTGGCTGGTGGGACAGGGAAAGACTCACTACACAGGTATTACCAGTAATACCCCATGTCAGCATACCTCATAAAGCAGGCAGTATGCAAAGAGAACATTAAAGACCTGACTCCCATAAAGCCCACCTGGCCACAGCAGCTTCTAAGGGAAACGGGAAGTTAATCATAAACATGCTGTTATTTACAAAGTTGGAGAAAGAAAAAAAGATAACAGCTTCGGCACTGGCTGTGAACACCCCTGCCCCGAGTCCTCCTCGGCGCTTACTCACTGTCTCGCCTCCCGCACCACCTTTCGTACCTGGCTGATGTGTACGGCTGACACCTGGGCAGAACACACAGAGGAGTGGCTTGGTGAGTTGGGTAAGGACTTGCAGGGGCCTATGGACAGCTGCTGCTTCTTCCTCGTGGCGACAATCTTCTGGGCCACTAGTGGACACAAAGATAGGAGACATCACTGTGAGGCTAGCGGCTGGATATGAGGTGATCCCTGGCTCCTGCCATTTCTGCATCCATATCAAGTTTCATTTGGATACCTGACCACCAGGATATATAGGACATACCCCAGCTGACTACATGGCCCATAAGCAAGCCCTGGCCAATGGGACTGGAACACAAGCAAGCCCTGAGCACTGGGACTAGAGCATAAATACACAAAGCCTGGCCAATGTGAGGAAGGCGGAAAGCTCATGTGGCTTTCAGGACCCATCTTCAGGTGAGAGCTGTTCTTTGCCCCTTTCTTCTGTCTTTTTGTTTAATCTCTCTGAAATATACAGATGTGACTTTGGTGCCAGGAGCCACCCAGGACCATTAGTGACAAGGGATGGAAGCCACACCAGTGAGATAGGAGGCAAAAGAGACCAGTCCTGACTCCTGAAGGCTTTAGCCAGCCCACTTAGACCACCTCAGGGGACTCAAGTGTACAACAAGAACACATGCCTGCCTAAGGTAGGCTATCCTAATAAAATAGCATTTTCCAGTCATTAAAAAGTAATCCCAAATAAGGAAAATTGAGCAAAATCCCTTTGAAAGCTTTTGTTTTCATTTATTTATTTTTGCATTGCTTAAAGAATGACATTTAACTCTTATATTTTTGGTTGTGAGCCTAGCCTTTAACGGCTGAGCTATCCCTCTAGCCCAAGAATGACGTATAACTCTAGAGGCTACGTAGAATTATACTCAAGCAAGAGCAGTTATAACAAGGACCTTTTTTAAAAATTCTAACATATGACCAGTTTATCTTAATCAATATATATCTAAATTCAACCGGCCATAACTTCTCTCAGCAAACAGGCTTGCTGATGAAGCATGTGGAATTTAACTGCAAAGGAAGTCAATGATTAGAAACCCATTCTTACACCAATAGGTGTCACTGCAGGAGAGTGGCTGCAGTTTGTAGCCGAATTGAGACAGGTCTTGAGAGAGGCACTGGAGGTAAGCCTGGAACTTCCCCACCCTTGCCTCTGCTTCTGAAGCACTTTGCCTGTCTAGGACCAACGGTTACAGGAGACAGAGGCCACAGGTACTCACAGATAATTTCTCTTCCACATGAACACAACCTTAAGCGGGAACTGATGTGTCCACAGCTCATGGCTTTTGTGCAAATGAGTGATGTGCTAAACATGACTAAGTGGAAATGCAGTCTATAAAAAATGCTTCCCGGAGCCGAAGCAGCGGCTTCAGCAGTCATGGCCCACCTCCAAAGGATGGAGCAATTAATTCATCTTGCCTCCATGTATTGATCATAACCTTCATCAGCTAATCATGTTTAAATTACAGAGGAATATCGTGGTACTCCGTCATTTCAAAGCCATTGGTATATTGATCAGGGACTGTTGAAAATGTATATTAGACTATCTTTTAAAAAAATCATTATGTGAATTCAAAAATAAAATCTAAGGTCAGTGTCTAAGGACTGCACAGTAAGTAACTGTCACCGGGAGGTTCTGACATCTCAAGACCCAAATTAATGCAAAATCATAACTGCCTGGGTGCTGTGGTTTCAACGTGAAAGGCGCCCTCAGGCTCACTTGCTTGAAACTCTGTCCCAGCTGGTGCTGGCTGGGGAGGTTCTGGGAATGTTAGGAGGTGGAGTCCTGTTGGAGGGAATGGCTCACTGTGGTGGCCTTCACAGCCTGGGTCCCACTTTCTGGTCTCCCTTCCTGCTTCCTGTATGCTAATGAAATTTGATCAGTCAGCTTCCTGGCTGCAAGGCTATCTTCATGCTCCTGTTGCTATGCCTTCCCTGCTAAGATGGGCATATCCCCTCTGGAACTGTAGTCAAAATCAACTTTTCCCCCTCTAATTTTTTTTGGTGGGTCAGGATTTCTGCCTTAGCAACAGAAATGTAACCACTATACCCCATTACCAATCCTTTGTAAAAAAAAAAAAAAAAAAAAAAAAAGGTTCAAATGACCAACTTTTTGTTTTACTCCCAGTCTGAGATCCCTTCAATCTGGTCCCACAATGACTTAACCACAGAACATAGAAGAGAGGCACGAAACAAGCTCACATGCCCACTCTTGGGAGCTTTGTGGACACCTGCTATGCAGGCCTTCCACCCGAAGGGAAGGGTTAAGAAACTGAGTCAGTAGGCTGTGGAACTTCAAATGCAGATGCCTGCCATTCTTAGAAGGCGCTGGGCAAGTACTCAGGGATAAAGAGCAAAGCCCCAATGCATGGCTCAGAGTGTGGCTGTAGTCAAGCCTAAGCAACCACCCCACCCCACCCCCCCCCCCACCGACTGCTCTTCCAACGTAAAGACCAAAACACAGATCCACAACATCTAACAACCAACAGCATTTATTGTTACTCCATTTTTTTCATGTCTGACCTACTTGCTCATTATTCTTAAGACCTTCTAACTCCCATACACCAATAAAGGAAAGAAAATAATCTTACAAAGTTCTACATTTCCAGGAGTACTTTGGTAAGACAGGATAAAACATAAGAACAGGGGCAAATTTACTTAATGAAGGACAAGAGGATTCTGGGTAAGGCTGAAGCGAATGAGAAAAGGGGAAGGTGAAGAAGGTCTACCCTGTGCTGTAGAACTCCTGCTAACAGCCATGTGTTTGTTAAAGGCTGCTGCTGCTACCTGCTTTGTGTACCAGGGAGGAAATAGCATCCCCGGTGCCTTGGTTAAAGACTTTCCTAGAAGGGTCACTAGGTGAATAAAAAGCATAGTGACAACTCCAATCAGGAAGAGACCATGTTATTCACTACAGGATCACGTCCACCATCACAGCACTGTGTGGAAATCTGGGCAGATCCACAGGGTCCCTAAACCCAACAGGCGAGTGTCTGGCCCTTCTCTAATCACCACTCCAAGGCACAGGCCACCGAGTACAGAGGGCAGGCCCCACCCCTTTCAAACTGTAATCACAGGTGATACTTGAATATGTTAAGTACTGGTAGGTTCAAAGATAAAACCTCAGACCCCACTGTTTGGGCAATCTCATCCCCTGGTTAGCTAGTACCTTGGTCATTCAACAAATATATGACTACGTATTTTATATCAATACACATATGTAAATGTCTTGTTTAATGTGTTATGCATCAAACATACAAACACCCAAGCCCCAAAGAATGGGCTTTATTTCTTTTACTATTGAGGTTTAATATTCTCTCACCCTTGGTGGGATTCTGGACACCCGTGCTGGGCGGGCTCCATCTGGAATTGTCACTTAGGAAGACTGCCCTTTTACCACGGCGCCCACCAACTCCTCTATTCTCCATGGCGTTGCTTCCTCTACAATTCAGCCTTCTGTTTGGATTTGAGTAGGAGGCAAACACAAAACAAAACCTCTCCCTTTAGCCAGCCTTCAGTCTTACCAATGGATTTAATTGCCTAAGGCTCACACAGCAAGCAGGCAAAACCAGCCAGAGGAGCGATGTCAGAATGGCGCCACCTTATGGCGGAGGTGGGTTAATGCTTGAGAGTGTGACAAAGGTCTCCTCCAGGTTGGAAAAGCTCTGCCTAATCTGGGCTAATGTATGATATACTTAAACTGAAACATATATCCATGTACACAGCTCCATTCTTCAATTAGGAAAATTTATAGACCTTAAGAACAAAAGCTGAAATGTACAAACTTGCTTTCCCCATAAACTGTACATTTTCTACTGAACAAGAAAGCTCTGTTCAACCCCGATCAAAAACCCCTTCTCTTCTTCCATGACTCTATGGGCCATCCACACAAAAGCATGACTCATCTTGGTCCTACGAGGAGAGTGAGCCCTCTGTTCATGGCCATGTGACCACGCACATATAAGTATTTTGCCCTGTGTCTGCTGCCTGAGGCTGAGCATGGTGGGAGAACTATGACCTCATTCCATCCAGCAGATAAAGAGGACTCAGTAACAGCCAGCTCTCTGGTCTTGCAGAACCTGGAAGACTGAGGCAGGAGGCCAGCCTGGACCACCCTAAGATAGAGCCAATCTCAAACAAGCAAACTACACCCCCAACTATAACAAGTAAACAAAAGACAAACCAGAGAGATGAGAACAACTGTTCAGACAGTGCCTGGACAGCTCAGGCAGGACCTCCAGCCCAGCCTGCACGGTCCCAGGACAGAAGCTGGGAAACCGTTTGCTTTACACCACTTGCTCCATTTGTAAGGTACCTCCATAACTGACTGTGGTGACTTAAATGAGAAATGTCCCCCATAGTCTCAGGCATTATAATGCTTTGGCCCCCAGAAGGTGGCACTGCTTGGGGAAGCTGAGGGTGTGACCTTGTTGAAGTGTTACTCAAGGCAGACCTTGATAGTTTAAAAGACTGGTGCTGCTTTTAGTTCTCCTTCTGCTTTGTGCTTGTGTGTGAGCTCTCAGCTTGCTACTCTGGCCAGCGTGCCATCTACTTCCTTGTCATAATGAACACTTAACCCGCTGTACTGTAAACACAAATAAACTCTTCTACTTGCCATCGGGACAAGGTGTGTCAACCACTCAGAGGCATAGGCCTCTCTCCTGCAGTCTTCCTGCAAGTCTGTGTCCTTGGCCGAGGCCACCTCCCCAATTTCTGACGCCCACACCTTAGGAGCTGGTCTGTCTCTGTGCCCTTGTGTACTCGGGGACCCTGGAGGTCAGATCACCTGTTCCTACATGAGCTCTGGGCAGTTTCCACTGCAGCTGACTGATATCCCATTCATTCCTTTCTTTTCTAGACATCTGGAGTACACCAGGTCCTTGGCTGCACCCTCTGCCTGGAACTCCGCAAGCGCCTTTGTTGCCTTCTCAAGGGGCTTCCAAGGCTCTGGTCCTCAGCCCTCTCCCAGCTCCAGATTCGCTCCTGGAGAGGCATCTGCTCATTCATTCTTTAGTAACTACCTCAATGCTGATGGCTCTCTACAGGGAGCATTTGAAAACTGCATGAGCATGGTGAGCCCAACACCTGACTGTATTGTGTTGGGCACTTCAGAGTCCAC